ATTAACCAATATTGTATTAACTAAAATCAAATTTTAAATGCAAAATTCCAATTTGAATTAATTTAATTGTTTTTGGATCTAAAAATATCCTGATTATAACCACCATTTTCAATCCGAAATAGATTTCTTATTACGGAGCGTGACTTTCGCAATAATATTCTATGAGAATTGAATATGACTTCTGATACTGTTATTAACTACATAATGTTTTATACAAGTACTAGGGCGAAATGATTGGCTTTCTTTAAAAAAGTATAGGTCGATACGATTCTATGGAGCATTACGAGTAAAAAGTTACCCAATAATTATATTTCTAAAATAGATTGTTCATCTGGTTCCATTCGTACAAAACCAACTACTGTTATTACTTCATAAATTTTCAATCATACCTATAACTTCATAAAAATTCAATAACATCTGTCAAAGATATAGGACAAAGATTGTCGCGTACTAAAATCAAATCTTAAACTGTGTTTTTCTTTTATACTTCTCTAAAATATCTTTCACTTAAGCCCTGCTGTTTTCAAAAATAAACAAGAAAAAATGGGCTTAAATTATCATTCCACTTAGTGGGTATTGTTATCATATATGCAACAAGAGTTAATCACAATACTCTAATTAATTTTTTTTTACGAATTTTAAGAACTTTCTGATAATACTTTCTTGTACTCGGAAACTTATTTACAAAGAATTGTGGTCCAGATTCTTTTTAAGGCTTTATTGAGAACTTGGGAACTCTTTCCTTTTTTTCTTAGTATAGGCTGTAAAGATTACTGCTTAGTACTCCTAGTCCACATGCGTGATTGTCTTTATGTGGTAGCTGATTGCAAAAGTGATTTCGGTTATAACTAAGCTAATACGCTTCCTAGTTTCTTATAGATTAAAAGGTGGTCAAACTGTTATATTCCTGCCCAAAGTGATCTTATTAGGCTACCTAATTTTTAGCTGTTAGAGGAAAAAACAGTATGTTGTGTATAAACAGGTACTATGTACAATAAGTACATATATAATAACTAAAAATTGTTATTTTAAAAAATTCAGGAAAGACCTATTAATGACAAACAAATTAGTGAGCTTATAAAAATCAAGTAATAGCTGATATAAATCATAACCGAACCATCGCATGCTGATTCATCTGCTATATAGTTGAAACAGTGATCATTGTGTACTCGTATTCAGACGACAGATACAGTGTTATGTCTACTGATTTTGTTCAGAAGTACATCATATAATGGCAGAATGCTTGATGTAGACTACTCGTATGATGAATGTAAAGCGTTGATTGTTGCTTGGCTATCAGTAAAGAATCTTTTTTCAGTTTCAGATATTGGAGTGACTGACTAAGTAATTTATAAATATATATTCAAGACATGTATTTAAAAATATTAAAATAATTATAAAGTTCGAAAACATAATTAAATTAATTGTAATGCTAACATAATATTGTATATATACACGGTGTACCGCCTACCTATACAAATGATTTAAATAATAAATAATTTCCATTATACCATTTAACATTTTATTCTGTGAGAACCCGCATTTGCATGTCCAATTGATTTCAACATTTAAATCACCGACAGCGACACTATTCGCAAAATTTAGTTTAATCTACATCAGTTCATCTACATGCGAGCGTGGTAGTCCCATCGATTATTTAAAAAAATATTTATCTGTAAATGTTTTTGAATACTTTTTAGAATTTTTGAGCATTAAGCACGACGTGCTGCAAATGTTCAATATTTCAATGCAAGACCATTGAGCATGAATCGAAAATGCTTTTAGGGACTCCAATGAATTTATTTCAGCTTTTACCTCGTGCCCACTGGTGTCTAAATCACGTACATTTCACTGCATTTTCCTTAATTTTATGGCTTTTTAATATAAATAATTGTTTTCACATTTTGTACTTCGTTTCTAAAGATACAGGCTGCTGTGTATGCAATTAAAATAATTGAATACACAGCAGCCAACGCGAAACCTACACCAAAAACAGGACCTAATTTAGCAGTAGCTTTACTGAAATTTTAATATCATTTTTTCCATAGATAATTATGTTATAAATTAATTATGCATTTTGTATTACCCAATGCAATTATATTTACAATTACATACACAAGCGTGAGTACATGGAGCATGGATATTTTCTATTACGCGGATACATGATATATTCAACCGATTTCGCTCATTTGCCGACTTGGTCCGCTCGAATTCACAACAAAAATTCCGTATAATTTCATTCGATTAGTTCGAAAACTGTGGGAAAGTTTGTATATTAACGTACTAATGGATAGACTGACCTCATTAAATCGATTATTTCCATCATGCTATTTAAGAATGTAGTTGATTTCAACATTATCAGATTTTTTAGTTGGTTATAGTAATTCATCCTCATCTGCAACCATTTTGATGCATTTTGATGATTTTGATGATTTTGAATATTTTCCATTTTTTACGTATAATTAATTCCTTGCAAAACATAAGTACTCTGTAATGTAAGAAATTGCAGTAAATAAAGCCAAAATAATATAAATCCATTGAGTAGATTAATGTTCATTACTAAAAACATATTAAAACTTTAGGGATTCCAAAAAACTACAGAATAATGAATTAAAATACTTTTCAATTTATCTTTACCATAAACATTGTTCTTACACTTCAACATGGAAGTATCCTCGTAACTCACAGAGCGCAGGAACACACTTTGCAACTCTTAAAAACTAACTAACTAACAAAAGTATTACGTTTTGCCCACTAAAATTCCGTAAAATGTGCGCAAAAAGTTAGAAGGGAGGTTATATTATCCTTTCCCGTTGTTTCTTCAACTAAGAGCACTTTTCCCAAACTCTTCCGGGTTAATGAGTTCTCAGAAGTTAGCTTCATATTACCGTTGGTGTCAGTAAAATTTAAAATGTTCAATCTTGCTCGTAAAAAATAATTACTTGCTTTTAGCCGCTTTAGTTGGAATTATGAAGTTTTTTCAAGTAAACCTAATTCATGAGTTAAGTTTTCTACTCACAGAAAAAATATCTAAATATATTAAAGCTGTTGGAAAAGCAAACCCAACTTACTCGTCAGTACTAAAATTTCAGTTTCAAAATTTATTTTGAAATCCAAAATTTTTAAAATTTAAAAAAGTGTTAAAAAGCTATATCAATATATATATAATTAATTATCCTTAATATTCTACTGAAATGTTATTAAGCCTGATTAGTTTGAGGAAAGAAAATTCATATAAATCATACAGACTTCATCCCAAAAACCGTAACTACTATCTACCAGCCAACTTCGCGATTATTGTCATTATTAAAAATTATTATCACTAACTGAGGATATCACTGAGGTTACAGCAACATGTTAACATCATAACCTCGTATGGACAACCAAGACGACTAAAACGACAAAATGTCGCTGACATGGCATCGAATAAAATGTACAGTAATTTGTTTAGAAAATTTCTTATTTATGTACTTATATTGATCAGATAAAAAAAAAAAAAAATTAGAAATGATTTAGAAAAGTCTATTGTTCTGCTTAATTCTCTATTCTATTTTCTATTCTATTCTATAGTAGATAGTAACCATTTCGAGATCAATTAAAGATATTTCATGGAATTGAGAATAGAGATTACTACTAAACTAAGTAATAATATTCCATCCAATCAATAAGTTGAAATGAAAGCTATTACCATAATTAGCGAAAGCTTCAATATATCATTTTATCTGAGATACTTTAACAAACGGCTGCAGCGATTCCTCGTAATCGATTTGTAAAGCATATAATACACAATAATTAATGCAGTTTCTTACATCAATTACTATACAAAATTCGATTGATTGGGTCACCAAATTCTCCCATAACTATGTATTAAGATATATTTTATGTATAGCTTAGTGGATGCTTTAAGAAACTAAAGAATGAATTTTAAACTACTGTGTATTCGTAGACTGTTCAAAAACTGAGATTATAGATAACAATGAAACCGCTTCGAATGGATGTCTTTGTGCAATGAACACTCCTCTAAATAGACAATTAAAAATAGACAATATAAAAAATTTCTTTTTCATCCTTATTTCAAACAACTTTATCGCTGTTTGCTGGAAACACTTCTTTAAAAAGCAAAAGTTTGCTGATGATTATTGAGAATTATACCTCTGTAATTGCTTCATATCGGTTTTTACTAATTTATTTATTTTTCTCTAATATTTCTACAACTGTAGCGATTTTATCTATAATTGTTTTCAAGAATTTCACTGTTCGAATTGTATCTTTAGTAAGACAAATGCCTCTGTTACACTTCTATTTTACTAAATTTTTTGAACCAATTAATTGATAAAAAAATAAATGTACTAGTATTTTTTGTCTAATAACGATACTGAATCCTAAATTTCTGTAATCTAAATTGATGCCTTATTAAAGGGTAAGTATTTATTTTTTTTTATTAAATGCATAACATTTACTTAAGCTTCCATTACTTACTAACCATATTTTCCAATATTGCAAAGGTAATATCCTAACTAATTTTATACGTGAACTGAGTTTATGGAACGCATAAAAAAGTTAATGTTTATTTCATAATAAATTTTTTGGTTGTTAATTTATATGATCGGGCACCACTT